GCTCCTCAGGTTGAAGCCCCCAAGGCCGAAGGTCCCCAGGCTGAACCTGCTACAACTGAAGCTGCTCCCCAAGCAGAGGCACATCCCGTAGCGGCACCGGCCATCATCGACACTACACAACCTCAGCCTGCTGAGGATGAAGCGAGGATTGTCGCGCCAGGGACTGCCGGAGAGGAAGAGCTTCGGCTTGAGCGACGGGGATCCAGACTCAAATCTTGGTTCAAAGGCCGGGTGGGTCGCCGGTCTAATGGTGCGGAACGGGAGTCTCTACGAGAGATAGAAGGCGAGGGAGCAAGAACCGCAAACACAGGGTTCGCTGGAGGTGCGGCGCTGGCGGGGACAGATTCGCGCGGTGCAGCACTCGGATCTCATCCTGTCACAGGCAATGATCCTACCACGATGCAGCAGAGAATGTCTGGTGACGAAGGCAGTCTAGGAAACGACGCCACGCGGCGTGGCTCTAGCGGCATAGCTGAGCAGAATGGTGAGAACAGGAAGCCATCACGCCTGAGATCCAGCTTCAAGAAGATGGTGTCTGGCGGTTCGCAGGATAACAAGACTAACGGAGTATCGAAGCCGAGTGATGATCATCGGACCGCTTCAGAATCTGCAGAGAGTGGCGTTCGCAACCCTGAAGGCTCCAACGCATCCACCGCCACAAAAGAAGAACTGCGAGAGGGCGCCGCTGACCACGGACTGCCTGTGCCTCCAGCCATTGGCAAGCATGCCACCAATGGTAGTCGTGAGTCGCGGTTCTCCGAGGACTTGTGATGCAATCTGCCTTTGCGCACTAATATGTAATACCTTTTTTGCCTTCTTGTCTCTGTATTGGCCGAGCTTTGGGTTCTTCCTTTCTATACCTCGTGCCTTCTCCTTGGGAGTTTTATTGGGAGGAATGTTATCGGGCGTCGTGGTCTGTGGTTATCGGGGCGGAAATTTGGGGACTAATCGGGGTTCAAACGTTTCTGGCGCAATCTGTTCTAGTGACTTTAGTTATTGGTACATATTTCATGAAATTTCAATCATGTTTCTGTTATATGGGTGTCGTTTTCTGAAAGAGTTTGAAGAAATTGACAACCGTCGAAGCTCATGGCGAGATCAGAATCATTCTATCCCCTTTCTTTCGATTGACAACGGCTTTACTTCAGTCAACCTTCGGCATTAATCGAGACGAATAGACAAGAGAAATACCGAATCGAAAATAGCAGTCGGAATCATCTCGTGAGGTCTCCCATTGTCGAAGTGTCTCATTCCCCCACAATTTCTCTCCGAGATTTGTTCTCCGCCCCGCATTTCATCTATAGATTAAATCCTACCCAAGACAACCATCACCACCAATCGCGCTCGTCCGTCGATCTTCCCCTGCTTCCGTCGGGGAAAAGGAGCATGCATGCTTGTTAGCTGCATCTAGTCGTCGACTACTCAATCACGAACATCCACCAATCCCTGCGCAGCACCGGAGTAACACTGTCGCGAAAACCCGAAGATGGTCGTCGCGTCATTCTGTCCATGCGACCTTTTTATTGTCGTGAATCCTGTCGTACATTTTACAGCTATGGACAAGGATAGTAGTCTCGACTGCATCCTGGCGCAATTGGCGAGGCGAATATGCGAGTCTTTAGCTTCCTGTTTCTGCTCCTCCTGGGGATCCTGACGGGCGAGGGTCTGGTGTCAGGAACAGATAATGGCAAGACTACCGACGTGACATGGGACCAGTACAGTCTGTCCGTCAAGGGGCAGCGATTGTTTGTCTTCTCGGGCGAATTTCACTACCAGAGACTTCCTGTGCCGGAGCTATGGTTGGATGTCTTTCAGAAATTGCGGGCCAATGGGTTCAATGCCATCTCAGGTATGATCATATCTTATCCTGCGTTTATTCTTGGGTGAGTCCGACAGGGTACTAAAGGGCGGGGGTAGTGTACTTCTTTTGGAGCTTCCACAGCGCCTCGGAGGGCGAATTCGACTTTGAGAACGGAGCCCATGATATTCAGCGGTTGTTCGATTACGCCAAAGAAGCGGGTTTGTATGTGATTGCAAGAGGCGGCCCGTACTGCAACGCAGAAACCTCCGCTGGCGGGTATGCCCTTTGGGCAGCGAACGGCCAGATGGGGAACGAGCGGACGAGCGACGAGGCATACTACGAAAAATGGCGGCCGTGGATCTTGGAGATCGGCAAGATCATTGCGAAGAACCAAATCACCAACGGCGGGCCTGTGATTCTCAATCAACACGAGAATGAGCTCACGGAGACGACGTACGATCCGAACCACACCCTGGTTATCTACATGAAGCAGATTGCGCAGGTGTTTGAGGAGGCTGGGATTGTTGTTCCAAGCTCCCACAATGAGAAGGGCATGCGAGGCGTCAGCTGGTCGACAGACTACCACAACGTAGGAGGCGCAGTCAATATTTATGGCTTGGACTCGTACCCTGGTGGCCTCTCGTGCACGAATCCCAACTCTGGTTTCAGACTCGTCCGGACATACTATCAATGGTTCCAGAACTACTCCTCCACGCAACCGAGTTATATGCCCGAGTTCGAGGGTGGGTGGTTCCAGCCCTGGGGCGGGTCTTTCTATGACACCTGCGCCGCGGAGCTGTCGCCGGAGTTCCCAGATGTTTACTACAAGAACAACATCGGCTCTCGGGTGACATTGCATAGCATCTACATGACGTACGGCGGGACCAACTGGGGCCACAGCGCCGCTCCAGTTGTGTACACTTCCTACGACTACGGGGCTCCGCTCCGCGAGACTCGAGAGATCCGCGACAAGTTGAAACAGACAAAGCTTATTGGGCTCTTCACTCGTGTGTCGACCGACCTCTTGAAGACCTATATGGAAGGTAACGGTACTAGTTATACTAGCGATAGTAGCATCTACACTTGGTCGCTTAGAAACCCCGACACAAACGCGGGATTCTACGTGCTTGCACACAGCACCAGCTCATCTCGCGATGTGACTACCTTTTCCCTCAACGCCACCACCTCTGCCGGTATGGTCCTCGCGTGCAGTTTCTTCTTGACTTGTGCTAACCGGACTTAGGTGCCATCTCCATCCCCGACATCGAGCTGAATGGCCGCCAGAGCAAGATTATAGTGACAGACTACAATTTCGGAAATAACTCGACTCTCCTGTTTTCATCCGCTGAAGTCCTGACGTACGCCAACCTCGATGTAAATGTCCTTGTCTTCTACTTGAATGTCGGCCAGAAGGGGACCTTCGCGTTCAAGGATGTACCAAAGCTCGCCTTCCAGACATACGGCAATAGCAACGTCACCGCCTCGGAGTTTAGCTACGGCACGCAGTATTCCTACACGCAGGGAGTGGGTGTCACTGCGGTGAAGTTCTCCAACGGTGTGTTGGCCTACCTTCTTGACAAAGAGTCTGCCTGGAATTTCTTTGCGCCTCCGACCACGTCAAGCCCGCAGGTCGCCCCCAACGAGCACATATTGGTTCAAGGACCGTACCTGGTTCGCGGGGCTTCCATCAGCCACGGTACCGTGGAAATCACTGGTGACAACGCAAACACCACATCTATTGAGTGAGTAAAAACTGCTGAGCTTCCCGGCTCCTTTGTCATGAGAGAGACTGACCGTAAGACAGAGTGTACACTGGTGACTCGCAGGTCAAGAAAGTCAAGTGGAACGGGAAGACAATCGAGACCAGAAAGACTGCGTACGGAAGCCTGATCGGAACTGTACCTGGAGCGGAAGATGTTAAGATTCAACTTCCTTCGTTGGACTCCTGGAAGTCCCAAGACACTCTTCCAGAAATCCAGCCGGATTATGACGATTCTAAATGGACTGTTTGCAACAAGACCTCCTCAGTCAATGCGATTGCTCCGCTTTCTCTCCCCGTCCTCTACTCCGGTGACTACGGCTACCATGCGGGCACGAAGGTCTACCGTGGTCGTTTCGACGGACGCAACGTGACCGGCGCGAATGTGACCGTGCAGAACGGCGCAGCCGCGGGTTGGGCAGCGTGGGTGAACGGGCAGTATGCCGGCGGGTCCGTGGGCAGCCCTAGCCTTGCTGCGACGTCGGCTGTCCTCACGTTCAACAGCTCCGCGCTCAAGGATCGTGACAACGTCCTGACAGTGGTCACGGATTATACAGGCCATGATCAGAACAGCGTGAGGCCAAAGGGAACACAAAATCCGCGAGGGATCCTGGGCGCCACCTTGATTGGAGGGGGGAACTTTAAATCTTGGCGCATTCAAGGTAACGCAGGCGGCGAGAAGAACATTGACCCCGTCCGTGGCCCGATGAACGAGGGCGGACTGTATGGTGAGCGCATGGGCTGGCATCTGCCCGGGTACAAGGTACCCAAATCCGCGTCGAAGAGCAGCCCTCTAGACGGGGTATCCGGGCCGAGGGTCGTTTCTACACGACCACGTTCAAGCTGAAGCTCGATAAAGATCTGGACGTCCCCATCGGACTCCAGCTGGGGGCTCCCGAAGGCACAAAGGCGGTAGTCCAGGTCTTCATGAACGGATATCAATTTGGTCATTACCTCCCCCACACCGGACCGCAGAGTCTCTTTCCCTTTCCGCCAGGTGTGATCAACAACCGCGGGGAGAACACGCTGGCGATCAGCATGTGGGCGCTGACTGATGCGGGTGCGAAGCTGGACAAGGTGGAGCTGGTGGCGTATGGAAAGTATCGGAGTGGGTTCGACTTCAATCAGGACTGGGGCTATCTGCAGCCGGGCTGGAAAGACCGAAGCCAGTATGCATGAGGGCAGCTGTCAGAAAGCCGGTTGGTAGCTTCTGGGATGGTCGCTGCAGTCTGGCCAGAGTCTTAGAGCCAGGAGTTGTACATATTCGTGAAAGTAGACAGTCACGAAGAGAAAGAAGCGGAAAATTAAATGAATTCGACTCCATATCCAGCGATCCAGCCGGAGTAGAAGCCGTCGGGCCGTGACTAGTGCCAGTTTTCCTGGATTTCCTCTCCACCGCCAGTTTGAGGGGATCCGCATAGTATGCTTAATCCTGACTCCTCTGTCCAATCAATCAATCCATCGTCTGTCTGTCTGTCTGTCCGGCTATCTTGTATCTCCTTCATCCTCCTCCTCCTCCTCCTTGTCCTCGTCCCGTCCTAGTCTTCATCTTCATCTTCATCTCGCCAGTCTCTCGTTCTTTGACATAGTTCCATCAATTTATTGCTTCATCGGTCCATCTTTGTTATGGACATTGTATAAGATTTAAAGGCTGTAGCCCGTCTAGCACTTACGATAACAAACCGACTTATTGTCTTGAACCTCGCTTCCACTGGTTGATCCTAATTGATGGGTTAATCAACTCACTTCTTGGGTTTGTTCTCATTCCATCTATGATACCCATATTCGTTCACCCTTCTTAATATTTGCTTCCTGCTTCCTCTTTCCCTGTATCCGTCATCTCAGCAGTCACCATGACCTCCAATCTCCCCCGCCAATCCAGCGTCGATCTAGACTCGGCCGATCGGCCCTTTGACAATATTATCAACTTTCGCGATGTCGGACGGTCAATCAATCAATTGATGGGATGTCGGTATGTTGCACGTCTCTCGTTATCAATTGCATTTGCTGACGGTATATGGCATGGTACAGCATCCTAAAGGAAGGCGTCCTCTTCCGAAGTGCCAGGGTGCGCATAAGGCTTAGGATCTATTGTCAGTGTTCATTGCTAACAAACAACAGCTAGACGATGCCTCAGAACGAGATAGACGGCGCCTAGCAGAAGAGCTACACATTTCAACCGTCCTGGACCTCAGATCGATGTATGGACGGCAAGCGTTCATAGATGCATACTGATGCTGACCCTGACCCTGACCCTGACAGGACCGAACACCAAATGGCCACTCGCAAATGTCGCGGCGAGGATGCTCTCGACCCAGAACAACCATCTCTCCCTCCTTCGGAGGCAAACGAGCATCTCATGGAGATCTCCGGTGTGCAACGCTCCCTGATCAGTCTAACGGGCAGAGCATTCGAGCGCGCCCTCCTGTGGCGCTTGGACTGGTATAACCTCATGTATGCGCCCGCCCCCCCCCCCCCCCCGGCGACTCCCCACCTCACGCACAGCTATTGATGTCTATAGACGAGTCCTCGCCCTCGTAGCTTCAGGCTACCGCACCGAAGCAGTCACCATCGTGGGCCAGCAGGCCATGGCGCCGCGGGGCCTGATCAGGCTCGGCCAGGACACGCTGGACAGCAGCACGGCGGAGGTGCGCGAGATCTTCGAGCTGCTGGCGTCGCCGGCCGCGTACCCGGTCCTCGTGCACTGCACGCAGGGCAAGGACCGCACGGGTCTGATTGTGCTTCTGCTTCTGCTCCTTGTGCCGGAGGTGTCGGCGGATGCGATCGCGGCGGACTACGTCAAGTCGGAGCCGGAGTTGGTCGTTGAGTTCGAGGAGCGCATGAAGGAGATCCGCGTGCTGGGCTTGGATGAGGAGTATGCGAAATGCCCGCCGGGATTTACGCAGGAGATCCGGGCGCATCTGGAAGCGAAATACGGCGGCGTTGAAGGGTATCTGATGTCTGTTGGGATTGATCGCGAGAAGCAGGAGTTGATCAGGCAGAGGCTGCTCGCATAGTCTTCGGTTTTCTTCGACTATTCTATCTGATGATGGATGTACATTTAGCTGGGATACGATATTTGTAATTACGGGCGGATACATGCATGGATTCTGGGTAGATTTTAGCAACTTCGGGACAAATGAGCAATTTATATAATATAATTAAGGCGTTGTATACCCATGTATCAGCAACCATTAGGGACCAAGGTATCTTTATCTAGCACATCCAATGCAGTGTTGTACAAGCAGCAGCATATCAAATCAAATAAAATGAGAAAAAGGCTATCATCAAAGTGTATATCGTGTTTATCGTCAAGAACGCCGGTTTTAGTAACCGGTAGAACGCTGCCCGCGGTAGAAGTTGGTGTTGGGCCCGGTAGAATCCGTCGTCAGGGGCTCCTCAACCATGTAGCCGCCACTGGCTCCGTTGCGATGAGGATGAGGAGCATTGGGCCCCTCGTGGGCCATTTCGAGGCGCTTTTCGCCCTGAGGGATGTGGCGCCGCGTTCGCACAGAGGGTAGAAGATCGACCACAAAGGAGAGAATATACCCCGTGAAAACGAAAGCAATAACTGCAGATATTAGCATCGAGAATAATCGAGACAGGAATTCAGAACATACCCCATTCCAAGACAGCGGCCACGTTTTTCTTGCCAGAGTTGCGGCGAGTGCAGATACCAAAGGCAATGGCCAGTGCGACCTCGATAATCACAAACGCGAGTTTGACCAGGAAGCTCGCGAACAAGATGCGATGCTGCGAGCGATAGAAGATCCCCAGCCACAGATACTCGATGCAGATGAGCACCGCACTGACCAGGTATCCGACACTTGAAGTAATCAGTCATTTATATCTCCAAACCGCAGAGATGCCGCTTACATGAACATGACCAGGAATCCATCGTGATAATGCGGATGATGCAGCGTATCGTAGCAAGAGAGTAGGATCAACCCAAGTGCGCCAGCGACCGCGAAGAATATCGAAGCGACAGCGCAGAACTTGTCAAACCAGCCCCTGTTCGGCACCAACAGTCCGGAGTGTCGCAGCCAGCGTTCTGAAACGAAGGACAGATCCAAGAAGACAACGGTGATGACGCTGCCTGTGATAAACAGAGGCTTCAACCCCTGCGCTCCAATGTCAGATATATATCTATCATCCTTTGTCAGCGTCAAATGAACGGCATGCGCAAGCGAGCAGTAAATGACGACATACGCAATGGTTTGTCCGGCTTCCATGCTGGGGTAGGTAGGCGTCCCAAGTACAGCCCAGTTTCCCAGCATCGCAAGCAGCATAGCTAGACAAAACCCATGAAATTAGCATCAATCTGACAAGTTCGGTGGAAAAAGTTTCCCTACCAAGCCACATGCAAGCCGATATCACCGGAAAGATCCAAAATGATATAATCCACATATTTGTTATGCCGAGCTTTTATTGGTTGACGGCTTTGTTTCGATCAAGATATCGACGTCGGTCTCACAATTAAGAAATAGGACGGAAAAGTTTCGACCTCAAAAGGACGACAGCGGCTCTCTGCTAGGGCAATACTACAACACATATCAATAAGATCAGTTCAAGCCATCCTTCACTTTAAATGGGAATCGGGATCGGGGGCACCGGATACAGCGGATGTGGCTTAGATCAAACTTACAGGATGAGGGAAGCTTGGCTTTGACGAATACTTCAGGCAGCGGTAAAATGTAATGCGTGGATGACGACAATCCCTCCAATTGACTCTATGGCTGTTCGGGGTATCCCTAGTTCTGTCGGCTACTTGTGGCTCAGTGGTAATAGAGGGAACAACGGATGGGGATGAGCAAGGCAGACACCGCGTGGTTCAATCAAGGATGTGTCGATAAACAAATATGGTGACAGTCTGGCAGCAGCCTGGAGCCCAAGGGAAGTTAGAAAGGTAAAGGGAGGAACAAAAAGCCAACAGAACTGTCCTTGGATACTCTGCGCGCTGATCATGAATCATTTAGCCTCTCTGTTTATAAATAATAATATCCCGAAGGAATCAGGAATGATTTCACCACCCGGTCAGTCCATCGACGTCATCGGGCAGAGCCATTGTCGATCTTCCGGAATGCAACCGAAGGACTAGAAGACTGCGCTGTGTACCTCTCGATTATGCTCTGTTATGATCCATTATTGTCATTCACAAAGCAACTCGAGCTCATATTGGTCCTTCTTCTCCCTGGTCTCGACTACCATCTTGTTGGACATCTTGGCTGTGCTCCGTAGATTACTCATTCTCTATACGAAGAGTGCACAGAGCAGGCAGCAAAGTATCACCTCGGGTTCGCAGTCTCAGCCACAAACTACTCGATTCTTCTGACTCTAAATTTTCTACCATTCGCAGATCCTTGTCAATCATCCTGATAGCCGTCTATCATGCAGTTGCACGCTCTTCCATACCTTACCTGCACAGCTGCCATGTGCACAGACTGACTCGGGATCGCATCCCGGTTACACGATACTGTTACTGCCACCAGGGGGGCTGTTGTTCCACGCTGGGCTCCATCCATCACATAGTCTATTGTCTTAGAATTAATCAGAACTGAAAATTAATGTAACCTTGAAAAACAGTCACCGCTCTAATTCAGAACTCCATACGTTTTTGTTTGCCAAATACCCGCTGGGCCGCCCCAACCGAAACACACAAGAGACACAGAAAGGCACAATCCATCGAAGACGTCTCCACCAGATTAAGGAAAAATGAAATGAAGGGGCACAGAGCGGGGGTTACGTTTGTATGCTTTTCAAGAACGTCGAGACCGTGGGGGAACTGCTCTGGCGCCGACCCCGCTGGCTGCAGCAGGCCGACTTTGAAGACCAGTTGGCACTTTGCGTCGCACCACATCGACAATGTGTATCTTATCACCGTCATTGTCGGATTCACTGTCTTCTTCTTCGTCACCTTCGCTGCTCGAATCGCCCCTGGCCGAATTCGACACATGCTGACGACGCAGCGGATGGCGATCGCTAAGAACAGACCCGGGACTTGCCCGGTATGCCATATGGCCCGGATAGCTTTGAGGTCCCGGACGGACGGTTGCCGAAGCATATGGTGCCTGGTACGGAGGCACCCACTGTGGCTCGTGAGGAAGGATGCGTGCATATGGAGGGTTTTGGAAGGTCGCCGGTGGAAGAGGGCTGGGGTAGGTGAGGGGAACGTCCGACCGAAAATCGCGTGGAACGGATGGGTAAGTCGGAGGCCCCGACATTTGAGGTTGCAGGTTAGGCACGGCGGACGTTCGTGGTAGTACAGGAGAATGGTCCCTGGCCGAAGCACCCGAAGCCCGCGCCCTCGATTCATACATCTCCTTCTTGTCCGTCACAAAGGTACGGGGTACGCTACCGTTTGGGGCGCTAGATCCATGCCGCATTGTCCGGAGATTTCCCAGCCCCCCGTTTGTGGAGCTCTCTACTGGCCTCAGGGGTCTGCTGGCGACAGACGCTGCCTTGGGAACCTTGTTTCTCTGTCCGACGTCTTCCATACCGCCAGTTTGCGTCCGTTTTCGTTCGAGGGCGTCCAACTCCCGTTGTGAAAGTCGTACATTCTTCTGGCCCAGTATCTGCGCACGCCGTATCCGTTCCAGGGCCTTGTCTACCAGCCACTCTTCATCGTCTTTCATCGCTAATTGCACTGCATATGCCACCGTGCTGTCCGAATCGTCATACAGATCCAAGTCTATGCCGTCGACCGAGTGCACATCATCAGCAGATCCGTCGTAATCCCCATTGCGCCTCGGCCACCCAATCCTCCGTTGTTCAGCAGCATACAAAGCGCGACCACGTCGCAGAAGATACTCCTCCTCAGCCCCGCTGTCAATCTCCTGAATCCGCACATTATTAGTATCCATCCACTGAGCCGTCTGTCTCCCGCTGGATCTCCCCACCCGTGCCCCCGGTGGTCTTCCCCATCGGGGCATACCGTAAGGAGCTCGCGGCCGACCACCTAGACCGCCTCCTCGGAAAAAGCATTCTCGATTGGTTTATCCATAAATGCGGCGTGACCGAAGACAGTCACGCCAGTGGCTCCGATCAGCCAGAGCGCAGTGGCGATGGGGGAAGCATAAAGACCCAGAGGAACCGCAACAATCAGCAGACCGGTGTATAGCTGAGAGGTGGTGAATCGGGCAAAGCCCAAATCAAGATCACGGCCCTGGAGCTTGCCAATTCCATACAGACCACCGGCAACCAACAGGATGACAAGAAGCAACGACAGATTGGTCAGCAAGCTGTATATGCTGAGCATGACAAAGACGGCGGCATAGTTGCTCGAGAAATAGGCTAGGTTGTAGTTCACACGGCTTTGAACTTCGCCGAAATTGGCAGGCTTCGAGAGGCGCTTGACGTCGAGGAACTCCGAGATCGGTCGAAGGTTGGAGAAACGCGAGGTAAGAGATTGCGCGCGGACGCTATTGAAGCGATCACCGAATCGCGAGGCAATCGCGTCAATAGGGAACTGAATCGGACTCATTGTGAAATGGTTGTAGGAAGATTTATGGTGGAAATAAATTCTGAAGTAGTAACTGACGGTCAGGGAAAACCGAAGAGGATTCGGAGGCAAGAAGTAGACGTGAATCGAGTCGATGAGCAGAGAAGTAAGTAAAAGGGGTGGTAAATGAAGGCAAAGTTGACAGGTTTATCTGGCCGGAACATATGAGGAAGCCTGGAGAGGTAAAGAGAGAAAAATCATTGGAACCTTCAGCCTAGCCCCGTTTGGTTCGTATTTTTGGTTCCGGCGTTGCAACAGGCACAAGGGGCTTAGCCTTACTAGATTAGCGCTGTTGGTCACCACCGTCCAAGACTCCTTACGGAGTAGACTGGATCCCTGAAGATTGAAGATACTTAGGGGATCAAGGACTCTAGATTCTCCCTAGTAGTGCTCAGAACTTTGATGATAATGGCAGTCGTCACGGTGTGAGTTACTTTTGACTGCGCGTCACAGTTCCCAAGACCCTAATAATAGAAGTGGTCGGTGCCTGGAAGCGGAAGAGTCCACAGTCTCAAGCCGAACCGCGAACGAGAAATTGTAGAATCAGATGAAAGGAAAACGGCAGAGGACAACATGACAAGATGCGACGTCTCGCTCGGATTAAGTCTCCTCCATGATCAAAACCCTTTCCCTTGTCGGGTCTGCCAACCGAAATAGATGCCTCAGGATACCGGGTACATCTGTAGACCGGAGTATCTCTAGGCAAGGACAGAGAAGAAGGGAGTTTACGAGACTACTATGGCAGGGAATGCTTGCATTTAAACCCACACTCTTTGACCTCCAATTGTTCGTCTTGATGATGAATCATCCCCATCAGATTCATCACATCTAGAATTGGGATGGCTGTTGGAACCCCTCATCTCCGTACCGGATTCATTTGTCCTCATGTCTAAGGCTTCAATACCATCCCCATTATTGGTCCACGTTTTTCCCTCTGCAGAGTGGATTACACGTAGCCCTCAGCGATTTCGTGTCAGTGAAGTACTTGATGCCTTGGTAATGATCTACGGAGTAGATAGTTAACGAAGGCAGCTGGACTCGTCCGGAGTACGTATCTAGATAACTTCCTATCCCCCTTCAGGAAGACGTATCTTACCCTGTACAACTGTATTACAGCCCACCGCCTTTCGATGTATCATAGGTGGATTGTGGACAGATCATAGTTTACCAAAAGCGGTAACTCCAAATTGTGTGTAGTGCTCACCCTCCATTTCTCAACTTTTGTGCGAGACTTGTTTCCTGAGAAGAGTCAAGTCTAGACTTCTATTTGATTCTTTGCTCGGGCCATTGCGGCATTGACCGCTTCCCCTCTGTGCCCATCATGAAGCCTCTTGCTCTCCGCTTGTTTGTGTTCGCTGTTCTACTGGTTCTTGCTGCTGCTTGGACTAAAGAAGGTTTGTCCTCTTTTTCTTCCCCTTTTTGTATCGCGCTGGATTTCCTTGCGAACAAAGAAATTGTTGCATCAGTGCTAATACCGTTAAGATTATGAAATCTTCCGACTCAATGATGAGGTCGCAGCCACTGAAGGTGCTAATGTGACCTTTTACGGTACGTCCTTCTTTCCCTGTCTCTCACCCGTGCATTCATATCTCATTCTCTCCTTTCCTGATAGACTTCCTCGGTGTGAGTCCCAATGCCAACCAGGACGAATTGAACAAGGCCTACCGCAAGAAATCCAGACTTCTCCACCCCGACAAGGTCAAGCGCTCCTTCATCGCCAACCGCTCCAAGGACAAGGGCAGAGCCAAAACCACCAAGCAGGGCGTCCATGTCAACAAGGGTCCCTCTCAGCGCGAAATCGCCGCGGCTGTCAAGGAAGCCCATGAACGGGCTGCTCGCTTGAACACCGTCGCCAACATCCTCCGCGGACCCAGTCGTGAGCGTTACGATCACTTTTTGAAGAATGGGTTTCCCAAGTGGAAGGGCACCGGCTACTACTACTCTCGATTCCGTCCGGGTCTAGGAAGTGTGCTTGTTGGGCTCTTTCTCGTTTTCGGTGGTGGTGCTCATTACGCCGCCCTCATTCTTAGCTGGAAGCGGCAGCGGGAATTCGTCGACCGGTACATTCGTCAAGCAAGGAGGGCCGCCTGGGGCGATGAACTTGGCGTCCGTGGTATTCCTGGCGTTGACGCCGCCGACGTCGCTGTCCCTACTCCCCCTCCTGAGCAAGGAGAAGCGACTGCAATTCCTATGAATCGGCGGCAGAAGCGCATGATGGAGCGAGAGAACCGCAAGGAAAGCAAGAAAGGTTCAAAGGCATCACCTCGCGGCTCCGGTACTGCAACACCCACCACTGAGTCTGTCCAGCCGACTGGCGAGAGGAAACGGGTTATTGCTGAAAATGGCAAGGTGTTGATCGTCGATTCCGTTGGAAATGTCTTCCTCGAAGAGGAGACCGAGGACGGAGAACGCCAGGAATTCATGCTGGACGTTGATGAAATCCAGCGACCGACTATCCGCGACACAATGGTATTCCGCGTCCCGATTTGGGTGTACCGGCAGACCGTGGGCAAACTGACTGGAGCTTCGACCACGGGGGAGCAGGAGGTCGACACTGAAGAAGAATCAGCAGAGGCCATGGAGCAAGAAGTTCAAGATAGCAACAGTTCTGCTCTCAGGTCCAAGAACGGTGCGTCTAGACGGAGAGGCAAACGGGCACAGAGGTCTTGAGTCGGCCTATCCCCAGGATGGATGCGCAATTGTCAAGGTCGGGCCTTGGCTTATATTACTCTTCTCGAGCCATTATCGGCGAGAAAGCATTGTATACATGTATATCAATTTTAGACGTAAAAAAGCTACTACAGAATCTTATGCCACGCAACACCTTCATCTTCTCAAGAAGTTACTCTAACTGTTGCTGCAACTACGCTCATTGTCTACTAGTATGCCCTTGGGCAGTAGCCATATTTATTAAATGCAGATTGCTCTTCACTAATATGGTCGCGAACAGGCCGTGCCGTCGCAAGGTTTTAAGCTGAAAAGAGTGGCTAGAGAGATCAACGGCAAAGATAGGCAAGCTAGGCCATTGAGACCTTTGAGCGGAAAATCATTGTTTACCACGACGCATGTGTAAGGTTTTAAATGTATGACATTGCAGGCAGCCTCCCGATAATAGTTGGTATAGATCATCAACCGGTTGTTGGGAAAGAAACAAAAACATCAATAATGTAGATCGAGTACATGTAATCATCGTCATAGTCATAGTCATGATCGTTCGTAGGCATTCATGTCGCCATTCGGCAGGGATGGCTGCGTCAAAGCTTATCGCCAATTGCAGCTGAGCTTCCCTGAGTCTGCCGGGCACCCCACAGTACTACAGGAACATTTTAGCGATGTTCATGAGTCCATTGAGGTTGTCACTCATGCCACTCTCGCCGACCTTTCTGGCACCGGAGGAGTGACCACTTAGACTATGCGGTAGGCGGATACCGATCATGGCCAGTAGTTTCTGTAGTACACCACTCGTGAGCAGAGGGATAATGACCATGAACAAGACCTTTGCAGGGTGACGGCGCGCATAGTTGTAGATGTCGCGGAAGAGGCGCTTGATATAGTGGATTACGCGCTGGATAAACCCAGCTCGAGGCCGTGCGCGTCTCGAAGATGACGAGGACAGCACCGATGGGCTTGAACGACCAGCACGACTGTAGCCACCTAGGCTGAAAATTGATGGCGCTGAATGGCGAGAGTGCGAGGTCGAATAGACGGATCGACGGGACGGGGAGCGCCGACGAACGTGGCGAGAAGACGAAGTCGACGACCTTCCATCAAACCAGCCCATTTTCGTCAATCAATGTTGGGACGTCCTGTAGTTTCTCAGGGTAAAGAATCAAGCTTAAAGCCAGAGTTGCCTGGAGCAAGGCAGAGGTAGCTGCTGGATTATGGACCCAGATTGAGAATGCAATATTTGCCCCTCCGGCGTCTTTCTGTGCGCGGTTCAGATGGATCGGAAGTGGATACGCAGTCAATTGATGCAGATGCACGAAATTCCAGTTCTAGGCCCAGCGCAGAAGATGTCTCCACTACTGGAATTAGAGAGATGTCCTGCCGAGATCTCGGTATAGATCAGAAGTCCTGGCAAAGTCACCGTAAACAATGATCAGCGGCCTAGTATTCATGCAATTGAGTGATCACAGCAGGCAAAGGCTGGAGAGCAGACAAGGGAGTTGCAAAGTGATTCCATTTTTGAGCACAAAAGAACCGGAAGCCAAAAGGAGCTGCGTGCACCAACTAAACTGACATGCGTTAGTAGAAAGCTGACGGGTGGCTGGTAACGAGCAGGATGGTCCTCATTGGTGGTTATTCCTCCAGGGGGTGTTGCACGCAGATGAACATTGTGTCCTTATTTTCAAGGCATCAAAGGCATCAACTACCGACGTCATCGGCTTGAATGAAGCCAGCGCATCGAAGTCTTGATTCCCTCAAGTTCGCTACGTTGCCGTGCATTTAGAAATTCCTCAAATTTGACCTCACGGTTAGTTCATTTGAAACACGAATAGAGCCATCCCCATCACCGCTTAGTTTTGCATGACTTCAGGATCTTCTCTCAGAACGCTTAACAGTCAATATGCCAAGTAAGACCATCAACCCTAGTCATACCTTGAGAGGATAATCAAAGACTGACAAACAATAACCAGGGCGGCCGGATTACTGTAATACTGCCCTTCTTCTAAGTGATTAAACCCGATCGGAGCCGCGCTCATTTGGATACAGATAAAATTCTGGGTGTATCTCCCGACGCCACTCATCAACAAATTCGAACTGCATACAAAAGGTGCGCGAAAACCTCAGATCATACCAAGGCGTTCAATAACACTCAATAATTTGCAGAGAATCTTTGAAATCCCATCCCGACCGAGTGCCTGCCGATTCACCAGAGCGACCCGCTCGTACTCGGAGATTCCAAGAGATCAATGATGCTTATTATACTCTTTCTGACCAGACACGTCGGCGAGAATATGACGCCCTAAGAGCAGCAGAAGCGTACGAAGAGCCAGCGGAGGAAGCGCCTCGGGGCGCTGGCGGCTTCCCATGGTCTGCCTTTGGATTTGGCACCACCACAGATAGCGAGCAACGAGCCTCCGAGCAATTTGGGTCTGTCTTCGAGGAGATGTTACGGGAGGAAGGACTTGCCGAGGATACCGATGCCGATGGCCAACGTCGTACCAGGCCTACATCACGCTTTTGGTCTGTTGTGGGCGGCATCAGCGGCGGTGCTTTAGGATTTATCGTTGCCAATACTCCCGGTGCTTTGGCTGGTGCCGTTGCAGGGAATCGCCTTGGTGCTGTCCGAGACGCAAAAGGCAAGAGTGTCTACGAGGTTTTCCTCGAACTTCCGCAGTCTGAAAGAGCCCGACTACTCAGCGAATTGGCAGCCAAGGTCTTCCAGACTACTCTGGGTCGCTAGGCGATTTGCGCCACACTGGCTAGTTTATGTGGTGTTTATATGGCTTCGTTTTTTGGAATATTTGGAGGATTTGGGAATCGAGCTTAACGCTAATATGTAATATCTGCCATTAGTCCCTTTGACATGAAAGATACTCCCAGCCTACCGCACTATCTATTTTCACGCTCAGTCACGAGGACCGCCACGGAAAAGCGAGGCATCTGGCGGTGATCCACAAGCCGTGTAGTTTCATTTTTCCCTCTTTTGGGGTTTCGCGGTCGGTCATATTCATTGATGTGCAATCTACTTCAGGGCTGTTTATTTTCTATAATTGGCCGATCAATAATACAAGCATATGGAATGTTCCTCAAAAGAAAGAGGTGGGATGAAGTACGGAGTACTTCTTTCTGTACTACTAATCTGGTTATCGATAAGAAGATCCAGACCCACAGATGTACTCCTACAGCGAAGGAGTGCCGGGCCCCTGACTGTGACTTTGACCGCTTCGAGCGTGTTTGCCTTGGTGCCTGAATCAACAACCCACTAATGTACTCATTGTCTAGACCCCGCTAGCCCCTCTTCTCACCGCATGCGGATAGGCCACGTTCCTGAGGTTTACTAGAGAGGCATTATTGATATTTAATACTTTGTCCCGCAGTCTGGTGACCCTCTGCAAATTGTGGCCGTCTTTGATCCCTACCTCTCTTTTGCACAGGCATTGTACGACTAATCTCATTGATTGGATTCAACAATATCACATTGAGAAACATACATCATCATGGCTACCGAAGCTGCGAGTGTTTACCCGGCTCTCCAGGACCGCCCTATTAAAAACACCATCTGTCTATTCGATGTCGACGAGACGCTGACGCCTGCGAGACGGGTACGTTAATTTACCAATGAAGAACTCAATGCCGAGTCCATAAGCTGATGGTCACCAATTCTCTGCGTACCAGGCCGTTACCCCGAGATGCTCACGCTTCTTTCGCAATTGCGCCACAAGTGTGCCATTGGATACGTCAGTTAACCCATTCTCCGGATCTCGACGTCCAATCTCACCCTCTGCAGGTCGGTGGTTCCAACCTTGCCAAGCAACAAGAACAACTTGGAACGGCCGCGACGGACGTGACCTCCCTTTTCGATTTCTGCTTCCCGGAGAATGGTTTGATGGCTTTTCGTCTGGGCAAGCCCCTTGCCAGCACCAGCTTCATCGATTGGATCGGCGAGGAGAAATATCAGAAGCTGGTGAACTTCATCCTTAGATACTTTGCGGACTTGCAGTTGCCCAAGAAGCGTGGTACCTTCATTGAGTTCCGTAATGGAATGATCAATGTTAGTCCCATTGGCAGAAACGCAAGTGTTGAAGAGAGAAACGAGTTCGAAGCGTATGTATACCAATCTGCGCTCAACCAGCCATTGAGGACACAGATGATATCTGTGAATACCAGTCTGCTAACAATTACAGCAGATATGACAAAGAACACCACATCAGAACAGATATGGTCAACGCGCTGAAGAAGGAGTTCCCTGATTATGGCCTCACGTAAGTGGATCATAATGACAATAGTAAAAATACTGCGCTCCGGAATATGATTCTAACAATAAATCTGCAGCTACTCTATCGGTGGCCAGATTTCTTTTGATGTCTTCCCCACTGGTTGGGATAAGACCTATTGCCTGCGGCACGTTGAAGCTGAGAAAGAAATTACTGGGGTTGAGTACACAACAATCCACTTCTTTGGAGATAAATGCTTTCCTGGAGGTAATGACTACGAGATCTACTCAGACCCACGGACGATAGGCCATTCCGTACATGGCCCTGAGGATACCATGAAGCAGCTGAAGGAACTGTTCCAGCTATGAAGTGTGCTATTTCTTTTCTCACCTTTGGTGACTGCCTTGGGGCGCATTCGAATGAGACATACAGCGATATCCTTTCCCACTGTTTGTGACATAACTGGAGAGCTTTAATAATAATGCATAGACAAACTTGCAAATGTAATTCAGTCGTGCCTCCTATGCAATCATACTTTCTCCAATGGGAAGCTGGAAATCACATGCATCCCAAAATGCACTAGTGCTGCGATAATTATCCACCGTGTTAGTCATCAGTAATGCCCGCATCCCGGTTGACTGCGAGTACTCCGTAAGAGGCAACCAACAGTCACTTATCCGACGAAGGATAGAAGTTGCGGGTTTATGCTTCTGCTGCTACATCTCTCCTCGATGAGTTGTCATTGCGCTGATATACTCTGAGGATGGCGCCGCAGAAATCTGTCACAGAAGTCCCGCGCTCACTTCTCCCTCGTCTGACCTGGAACGGCTCCTCTTCCCGGATTACGGTCGCTCCACCCCAAGGCAACGCTCTCTCGACTTTGCGACCTCAACACCAGCAGCGCATACAAAATTTGAGTCCTGTGCGTCAACAGCTACGTTCTTTATCCCTCTATCCACATCAAGCCCGCTCTTTCCCAGCGGCGTCCCGGGACCTTAGCTCGACAACACTGGTTGCAAGATGCCCGTCTACATCATCGAGCGCCTCGAAAAATCGTCCAGCTCTCGAGGACCTCAACAATCCTATCAGGTATAACGGGGTATATGTGGCCACTTTCAAGCCAGCGCGGCGCGCCTTCCACGCTTCGGCTTCTCTGCAGCGGGAGCATCACTTCGACACATTAAGATTCGTCCAACGGCTTAAGGATGAAGGATTTAGTGAAGAGCAAGCCGTCGCAATGATGAGGGTCCTGAACGATGTCATCCAAGAATCAATACAGCACTTGACGCGGACAATGGTTCTTCGGGAAGGTTGGTCAACTCCTTGTTTCCCCCAACTGGCCATGCCTTAGGCAGGTCCATTTGGACCTTTGGCAGTCATCATACCCTCTTTATTGCTCCTCTATTCTCAGGCGCTGACGACACATTTTTAGATACTGAACGCTCAGCATATACACAGAAAGTCGATTTTGCTAAACTCCGCTCAGAGCTGCTAAACGCAGATTCGACCGAAGCGCAGTTGACTAGATCATCGCACGAAAAGATTGCTGCGGATCTTGCGAAACTCAACTCGCGACTACGGGACGAGATTGGACGAACTCAAGCCTCTGTTCGCCTTGATTTGAACCTTGAAAAAGGACGTATCCGAGAAGAAGCAAACGGCCAAGAGATGCGCATCAAGGAGACTGAAACACGAATCGAGCAAGAAGTTGCAGGGCTGCGAGAGCGCGTTGAGGCTGTGAAGTTCTCGACCTTACAATGGCTTATGTATGGCTCCTTTGCTACATTTCGCTCAAACCTGGCTAACATATTATACTTTCAGGGGTGTTTGCACCGGTACAGCCGCTCTCATTCTCGGTGCATGGCGTCTTTTCATGTGATTCATCGGCGCTTGAGTCCGACTCCCTTCGATATCGACTTCTTCAGCACTCCAATCTTACTGTCGAGTTGTAGCAATCCTTGTACATAATACTCCGCTCGCCTCGTCCTTTTGCTCAAATAGAACAAACTGAGAGGAAGGAAGGTCCGTTTGGATTTGTGGAGTGTGATGGCCATCAACCTGGTCCTCAAAAGATACTTTTTGTATAATTTTAAAGCGTTGTTTCGATATGTTCAACGAAAGCGAGTTGTGGAATTGACATTGACAAAACAGATTGGTTTACCGCTTGTAAGGACATTTCAACCGCATAGACAGTCACATTACGACGGTATTCGCCGACAGATGTAGGTTCTATCTGGACTGGGAATGCTGTCCAGGAGATGTGTTGTGCCGGTCTTTCTCAAAATGGCAGGTCGATTGTCTAGTGTGTGACATGACTTCCATTCTATCCCACATGGCTTATCACTCTCCCAATAACATTAACTACTACATAGTACATCAGATAGTCGTCGTACTCCTTGCGCGCTAGTATTGATATTCATTACCTCTGGCTAGTGATATCATGATATGATAATAATCTATCCCTGCAACGCTCATTCTGGAGTAACAACAACGCTACTGAGCGGGGAAGAGGAGACGCCAGTACTTCTGCATGCTGCCAACGGGGCTCCTGTATAGCTCCGTCACATCGATAGACCCAGCCATGGCGCGATCCGGAATGGAGCAGGGATATGCATCTAGTCGCGGCTTCCTTTTAGGATGTTCCATGTCCCAGTCACAGGTGCTTGTGCTGCTTGTTTCGGCACTATTTCTCTGCTGTTGCTTTGCAATGAATATTGCCAACATTCGGCGATCCCGAAAGATATCCAAGGTCGAGGCGAAAGAACTTTCGCTGGATCATATTACAATATACAAAGAGTCAAGATTGGATACTTGTTCAGAATTAAAACCTTCTGTGTCATTGGATTGCAATAGAAATCAAGAAGATTTCGTCCGGAACTGTCCCTGCCAAATAAAGACCCTCTGCATGGCGCTGTCACTCATGTTTTGTGCCGCCCTCATATGGCTCGGATACCTGCCTTTGGAGTGTATATCTGGTATTGCAACTCGTCAGGTTTCAGCTTCTACCTCCAATACGACAGAAGTGTTGGAGGTCTTTCAAGTGTACCAACCTGTTTCGACCACTGGAGGCGCAGATTCTGCATGCAATGATGAGATACTTCTTATGGATCATGTGTTTGCCTATAGCTATGGCAAACCTTTTGTAGGTCAGTGAGTATCCTCGCGGATTGATGGCTCTGATATTGATTCCAAAGGATATTACAATCCACCCAAATGCAACTTCGACACGGTTCGAATAAACCTCACTGTGACCTCTAGAGGTCGACAATATGATCGATTGGCGATCATGTACCTTGGGGATGCAGAGGTATTCCGTACATCGACAGCTGAACCAACTACAAATGGGATTGTCTGGACATACATTAAGGAGATGTCTCAGTACAATGCACTGTGGAAAGAACGACAAAAGCTAATCTTTGATCTGGGCAATCTGATATCTGACGTCTACACAGGCAGTTTCAATGCCACACTTACTGCCGTCTTCTCCCAACGGGGCACTACTATTAGAACAGCGGACATGATTCTGCCGATATCAGCGTGCAAATCAGCGTCTAATGCATCGAGTGCCTTGATTGTGCCATCAGACAATGTAGAAATAGCCTACCGATTGCCCTCCAACACTGCCCGTGCTATTGTGTCGATTTCTGCATGTGGACAGTCCACAGAGGAATTCTGGTGGTCTAATGTGTTCTCACCCGACACAGAATCATTCGTCAACACGGTTGGCGAACTCTACGGGTATTCCCCCTTTCGTGAAATTCAGCTCTATATCGACGGTCTGCTTGCTGGGGTCATCTGGCCATTTCCAATTATCTTCACAGGGGGCGTCTCGCCCGGCTTCTGGCGTCCAATAGTTGGAATTGATGCTTTTGACCTGCGACAGCCCGAGATAGACATCTCACCATTTCTCCCTCTTCTGACTGATGGGCGAGAACATTGTTTTGAAATAAAGATCGTGGGCTTGGAAATTCAAGCGAACGGAACTGCCAGACTTTCTGATTCTGTCGGCTCTTACTGGGTGGTCACGGGAAACATCTTTTTGTACCTTGAGGGGGATGCATCGTATTCAAGAACTGATCAATGGAAGAAGGTGCCTCAAATAACCGCGCCGACACCACAGTTTACAATTACACGACTTCTCACCAAAGATGAGACAGGCGTTAACGATACACTCTCGTACTCTGTTGTTGCTGAAAGGACTCTCAGTATCACCTCAACCCAATTCACTTGGCATCAGTCCTTGAAGTACTCCAATTCGGGTCTGCTAAACCAGCAAGGATTGAGCCAAGCGAATCACCAACTCACATCCGGGAAGATATCAGCTGCAGAAATTGGAGTCAACGGATCTACTGATGATCTGGCCTTCGAGTATCCTTTATTTGTCAACACAACTTACGGTATAACTGACACTGAGCTCACCATAAACGCCCATATGGATAGAGGTCTTGATATAGCGGCGACAGGGGTCACTGGTATCTCTACCTACACCTTAACTTCGGGCCCGTCGAGATTGCACACCAGGCAATGGGGCAGCGCATTCTACCATTCAGTCACAGGTGGCGGGTCGACATCTGCTGGAGATACAACTGATGTTTTCGAGAGCATCGCTGAACAATCATATCACAGAAACGTCCGTGCTATCAATGCAAGTGTCGTCTCAGATACAGATGTCCGACCACAGACTACTTCACTTCAAGCCATTCAGGATGTTCTGTTATCACCAGGCAGAGACAGCGTGAAAAGCATCATCGGAAGAGGGCCTGGAGGGAAGAATTAACACTCAATGTGAAGCTACTCGGAGGGCAGGTAGACCTAGATGCAATATCTCACTTCCAAGCACTGATAGAGCTGAATGGAACATTACTTTCCTACATATCTTTTGTACTTAATTAATTGAGTTCAGAGCCGTACTTTACCAACAGAAAAGTGAGTTTTGCCACTACGTACCTGCACAACCATGGAACCTCTATATCAATATCACGTGATTTTTATGATAAGATTGCCTTATCGCCATTCATCCTCCTGCTTCGTACTCGATGCATTGTGGCGCTTCGTACAGACGAAACAGCTGTAGGATGGCTATGGTGACGGAAGAAGTGTGCTATTCAGGTGCGCCAACTACCCTTTCTCTAATGAGATTTGCTGATTGCTAATTGTTTACAACATGCAGGTAGAGTGCCTGATAGCTTAGCCACTGCTTTTGCGCAAAGCGGGCGACTTGCGCAAAGCGGGCGACTCGAGAGCGATGGTCCTCCCAGCAAGCGTCGCAAACTGACATCAGCACCCCAAAGTCTTCGAGACTTGAACGGCGCATCAGAAAATGGAGTCCCCAATGGATATATTGCTTTGGCGCGCTTTGACCTAAAGCTGGTATGTACATGACCATAATCATTGACCATATACCGTTGAGAGCGTGACTGACTTGACCAATCTCTATCAGAAATTCGCCCACGCAAATCCTCTTTTGGAGGAACACATTGATGATCCTTTGACGCCATTACCCCGTCTTCCTGTTGTCCTTCGGAGTGCTGGAAACTCCCGACATTTGGCCACTTGGACTCACGAGTCGACCTCGTATGACTGTTTCGAGCTAGAGATAGCTACACTGGCGGAGCGAGAGACCGTGTACAAAGAGACTTCGACTAGTCCTCAATTACTAGAGTTTGGGAAACACCTCGAGTCCGCTCATCGCCTTGTTTGCGCCGATCGATATCATAAGAAGGCTCCGATCGCATGTTATCAATGTACTCTCCATTGTTCAACAAATAGAAAGTCATTTCGGCTTGAGACGTTTATCCTATGGAGAGATTCTCTGAATATTATCGATGAAAAGCTGCTAAATGCCGGGTCACTTGAAACGTTTGCGAAATATGTGCTACAGCGTGATGCCGAGGTGTACAACAAGGCGCGCTTCGCGCCAGCAGGTATTTGGTCGCCTCGAGATTTCTACGATAATGTCCATGTTCCTCAAGACACGCCCGAGTCATCTGCAGAAATCAAGTCCGACTTGATACATTGTCGGCTTTATCCATTCCAAAGGAGAGCAGTACGATGGTTACTCGAAAGGGAAGGTGTGAAGCTTCACGAGAATGGACACGTGTTTCCTCTGGAGAACAAATCGGCGAGTGAACTGCCCACGTCATTCGAGAAGCGTACAGACGCTGAGGGGAAAATGTACTATGTTAGCCCTTTGTTCATGACTGTCGCATCCGATCTTTCCAACTGGTACGCGCCGGCGGATTATCTCAAGGGTGGTATCCTTGCTGAAGAGATGGGACTGGGTAAAACTGTGGAAATTATTAGTCTGATGTGCCTCCATCGTCGGTCCTTGCAACCTGATATGGACTTGGTTATCGGTGGAATGAGACAATCCGGCGCAACATTGATCATCACACCTCCTGCTATTCTCCAGCAATGGATGCAGGAAATTCAGTTGCATGCACCTGCTCTCCACGTTCTTCATTATACAGGTATAAATCGCCATCAGAAGCTTTCAGACCGCGAACTTGTTGAGCTACTTGCCGACCAAGATGTCGTTCTCACCACCTATGATGTCCTTGCACGGGAGATTCATTATTCCGGTGATGCTCCAAAACGTAATTTGCGGCATGAGAAAAGATTCCAGCCACGAAAATCGCCTCTTGTTAAAATATTATGGTGGCGAGTCTGTCTTGACGAAGCTCAAATGATCGAGAGCGGCGTGAGCAATGCAGCAAAGGTCGCACGTCTGATACCTCGCCAGAATGCGTGGGCTGTTACCGGTACACCTCTTCGGAAAGATATCTCTGACCTTCTTGGCCTTCTGCTTTTCCTTCACTATGAACCGTTCTGTGGGTTCGGGTGGAATAGGCTCTGTCGATCGTTCCACTCTGTGCTATCCGGCATTGTCAGTCGAGTCGCTCTTCGGCACAGCAAGGACCGTGTTCGCAGTGAGCTTGATCTGCCGTCCCAAAAGAGATTTGTGATCACTATTCCTTTCACAGCGGTCGAAGAACAGCACTACGCACAATTATTTGAGCAAATGGCCGAAGACTGCGGCCTAGATCTGTCCGGTGCGCCGCTTAAAGACGATTGGAACCCAGAGGACCAAGCCGTTGTAGAGAAGATGCGGAGTTGGCTAATGAGACTCCGTCAAGCATGTCTCTATCCGGCTGGAAGTGGTCGCCGTGTCTTAGGTTTCGGTGGCGGCCCGCTACGTTCTGTTGCCGAGGTTCTTGAGATAATGATCGATCAAAACGATGCTCTCGTCCATGCAGAAGAGCGCACTCTCGTCCAGTCTCAGCTCCGACGGGGGCAGCTCCTGGAAAATGCCTTGCGTCGTCAGCAAGCGCTTGAACTTTGGACCAAGTCATATGAACGGTCCAGTGCACTGGTCAAGGAATGTCGCACCCGGCTACAGTTAGAGCGTGATAAAAGTCGAGCCACGGCCGACGGCGTAAGCCAAGGCGGAGCGACAGATGATCCAGTGAGCGATAACGAAGTTGATGAGGCGGACAAGAATACTCGCGTTAGTGCGTACCGTCAAAGGCTGCGTGCTGCCCTTGAGATTCAGCACATTTCGATATTCTTTATCGGAAATGCATTTTATCAGATCAGAACAGATCCGAAGCTTACTGAACCGGACTCGGAGGAATTCAAGCGCCTCGAGAAACGCGAAACCGAGGCTTACGAAGAGGCCAAACTGATTCGGATGGAGATACTATCTGATGTTTCTCGTAAAGTTGCTCGCTATATGAGAGTGATCAGAGAGAAATCGGAAAGGAAGCAGTTCGTGGTTATCCCGAAAATGAAGCCACAGCTTTACAGCAAAGGACTGGAGTCCCGCCGCATATTCGACAGATACGAAGAGTTCTGTGAAGTGATGAATAAACACGCTGTCCAGTACAATGAATGGCGCGATATCATGGTCAAGCTCCTCTCACAGTCGCTCATTGACCAGGAGGATGAATCAGAGCTCGAAGGAAACGAGTATGAAAGGTCAACAAAGCATCAAGACGAGATGTATGTTTATATGGAAGCTCTGCGCGCCATGTTTGCGGACCGTCACGATGCTCTCACTGGTCAGCAGAATGTCCTCATCGCTCACGAGGTGAAAGGCGGCATTATTCAAGCTCAGCAAGGCGAGGGGCCGTCTCCGGGACTATTTCTTTCGGTGATGAACACCCGTAGTGCGCTGAAACCAGCGCCTGCGCTTGGTTCCCTCCGTGGCATCATCAGCGAGCTTCGCAGTCTTGCGACCTCCCTCGAATGGCAAGGAAGCGGGGGAAGCTCTCGCGCTCTTGCCGAGTTAGAGCTTGTCAACTCAGTCCTCCAACATGCTGCCAAGATGGCTGCTGAGCAGAACAAAGTGTCATCGAATCTGGAGAGAGAAGTGGAGATGTTCCGGGACACTATGAATAACCGCCTTGAGTACTACCGTCAGCTGCAACAAATATCCGATACCGTTGCTCCTTATGACGAGGAGAGTGTCGGTAAACCGTTGGATGAAGATCTATATGCAGCAAAGCTCAAGCAAGAGAACGATATAGATGCAAAGATATCCACCCTAAGGTCGAAACATCGTTATCTTCTACATCTGAGAGACGACTCAGGGGTTGATAATGCATCGAGAATATGTGTTATATGTCAGTCCAGCTTTGAAATCGGTAAGTACATGTGCTCTATTTTCCTAAGCTGTGGCTTCATTTCGCTTACATTTACAGGGGTCTTGACTGTCTGTGGTCATAAATACTGCAAGGATTGTCTGCGAATCTGGTGGAATCAACATCGCACCTGTCCTACCTGCAAAAAACGACTCAAGGTCAATGATTTTCACCAAATCACCTATAAACCCGAAGAGTTCGTGGTGCAGGAAGAGAAGACACCCAAACTTGAATTAGGTCGTTCATCGAACAGCTTCATTTACGCTGACATCAGCTCGGGGACGCTCAAAGAAATTAAGAACATCGATCTTGAAGCCTCGTTTGGCACCAAGATCGACACTCTGGCCCGTCATATTCTTTGGCTACGCGAGCATGACCCTGGTGCGAAATCTATTATATTCTCTCAATATAAGACCTTTCTTGAGGTGTTGGGGACCGCTTTTTCCCGATTTAAGATCGGGTACAGTAGCATCGACAATGCAGATGGTATAGAGAGGTTCAAGAGCGACCCAGCGGTATGTTTCCCCAAAGCCCGCATGTTGCTATACCTTTACTGATAATTGCTCATGCAGGTTGAATGCTTCTTTCTACATGCTAAAGCTCAGTCGTCCGGTCTCAACTTGGTCAACGCTACTCATGTTTTTCTCTGCGAACCACTTGTGAACACTGCGATTGAGCTTCAGGCCATCGCCCGTGTGCATCGAATCGGTCAGCATCGGCCTACTACCGTCTGGATGTATCTCGTATCCGATACCGTTGAGCAATCAATCTACGAGTTATCAGTCTCTCGCCGCCTGGCTCATATTGTCCAGAAGGAGAAGGTGAAAGAGGCACTGGACGACCCAGGAGCGGTATTCAAAAATTTGACTGAAACAGCCATTGATTCGGCGAACTCATTAGAGGTGCAAGATGCGACACTGGCAAAACTGATGACAAAAGGAACGGCCGGGGGAGAGCTCGTAAAGAAGGACGATTTATGGCAATGCCTTTTCGGCAATGCCACCCAGAAGATGGACTTGAGGACGGACGGGGAGGTGGCAAGGTTTTTGCGAGGTGATGCAGCAGAGAAAAGAAGGACCGCTGCTTCTTCATGATCCTACGATATATTATATAATGACTGATGAGTTATCTTATATGATGATATATGTAAATATAGTTGCATTTTCTTCTCCGTGCATACCAGGAGCATACATGGTTTTTGAATATATATCACCCGTCTTGACTCTTAATCCCGCGAAAGTCTGCTCGATGTA